CAAGAGTTGGAGGTTGCTGCAAGCTGTGGCGCTCTACCCAGGGTGACAGCTTTGAGACTCTATCATAAATAAATAAATAAATAGAAACAGCAAAAATAAATGAAGTGACTCGCAGAGAGGGAGGCTGTGAAATGTAGTGGTTAAGGGCTCTGGGCCCAGACACACCACTAATTTTCCATGTTTATATCTTTGTCCGCTTTACAGTATGTTGTAATGACTGGTAAGAACACCAGTCTATAACTTCCTGGACCTGATGCTGGCTCTGCTACTCACTGCTGGGGGTCTCATCCCCTCTCTTAGCCTCTGTAGCAGGGCTGCAAAACAGGCAAGATCATGATCCCTGTCTCCCAGAGTCTTTTGGAGGACTGAACAGGAGGATGAATGGGAAGGACTCAGTACAATGCCTGACACAAAACAAGCACTCCACAAATGCTTCAGTGAGAGGCGCACAGGTTACGAAATCAAGCTACTTTAGACGTGAACCCCAGCTCAACTCTGCCGCTTGTGGCTGTGTGTCTTTGGCCAAACCAGTTAACTCTCTGAACTTCATTCCCTCCTGGGGGAAAAAAAGGAAGATGATAATACCTTCCCCGGCAGGACTGTTGTGAGGATTAAATGACAAGACATGTTTTGATGCCCAGCGCGGCCACATGGGAATTTCCCTCCATCAGCCCTTGACTTTAAGCCGCGCCAGCCTTGCCAACACCCAGGCTGGAGTCGGTCCCATTGTCCATTTGCTCAGCTTCTGCACCTGGACTGCCAAGTGCAGCTGGAGAAAGTCAACAGGACCATGTGAATGGCTCCTCGCAAATGGCAGGTCTGTGTTGGAAAACATCAGTGAGGCTCTTCTGTTCCCAGATGGTCCTTCCACCTCTCTCCTGGCACTTCCTCTCGTATTCCACACTGGCTGGTCCAAACCTTTTCCACCACTCACTCATGCTGCCCTCCCCACTGCCTTAGCCTCAGAAGTTGACCTCGACAATCTCTTGACCAAGGTCATCAAATACAAGCACCTTTCTCCCCACCTCCCCAAACCTCTGATCCTCACCTTTATCCTTTCATCTCTTCTATCCTTCCAACTCTAATGTTGGAGAGTCCCTTTCCTTCCCAAGGCTTTAGAATTGACTCCATTATCCCCAACTACCCATCTCTAGTACTTTCTCTCCACCACCTCAGCCAAAAAAACTTGCTCAAGTACCTTAACCTTTCCCAGGTCTGACAGCGAGAGTACTCTTATTATTTAATTCACTCAAGAAAAATTTGTTGCGTACCTACTATGTGCCAGGCACTAGGAATACAGAGATGAATAGATACAGTCTTTGCCCTCAGAGTCTTCAAAATCCAGAGGGAGAGTCAGACCCACAAGCAGATGATGGGTTTATGGGTCTGATTATGACAAGTGAGATACAAAGCTGGCCCATGCTTGGTGCAGAGACCACATGTGTGTGAAGTAGGCGGAAAGGGAGCCCTGAAATGACTCTCAGCTTCCTGGTTGGTGTGAATGGGCAGATAGTAGTGCTGTTCCCTGAGACAGGAGGCAAGAAAAAGAGAAGGAGGAGCTAGGTGTGAGGGAAGTGGGTGTGTTCTGTTTGGCGTATGAGGAGTTTGAGGTGCTATTGGAACATCGCAGTAGAAATCTGTAACAAGTCTTCAGCTTAGGGGAGAGAGAAGTCTGAACTGGAATTAGAGATGTGAGACTCATCAGCTTATAGGAGTTGGAATCGTGAATGTTTGTAAGGTACTTTCTGCTGAAAGTGACAGAGTAATTACATGATAGTGACTTTTTTTTTTTGAGATAGAGTCTCAGTCTGTTGCCCAGGCTAGAGTGCTGCAGTATCAGCCTAGATCATAACAACCCCAAACTCTTGGGTTCAAGCGATCCTCCTGCCTCAGCCTCCCGAGGTGCCCACCACAACACCCAGCTAATTTTTCTAGTTTTAGTAGCAACCACATTTCACTCTTGCTCAGGCTGGTCTCAAACTTCTGAGCTCAAGGGATCCTCTTGCCTTGGCCTCCTCGAGTGCTAGGATTACAGGTGTGAGCCATTATAGTAACATTTGTTATCTCACATCTTAAGTAGTCAGGAGACAGGCAGTTCCAAGGTTAGATGACTTGGCAGCACAATGGTGGCATCCATAATTCCAATCCCTTCTATAGTCCCGTCGGCCATCCTCAGGAAGTTGACTTCTTCCTCAGCCTTGTCCCATCGTGGTTGCAACACATCTGCTCCACTCTCTCACAACGCCACTCAAAGATAAGAATGATTTCTTCTTGTACAAGTTACTTTTTATCATGGAGGACATCTTTTATCTTCAGCCAACAGACTTGTGCTTGGGTCATATTTGCCATACCTGTGTCACTCGGCAGAAGGGAGCTGATTACCATGATAGGCTTAGACCTTTAGTGGTTTATCTCCTTGGAAGCGGTGCTCCCACCTTCCTGGAGCACAACACTGCCTGATGCCTGAGCAAAACTGGGGTCCCATGAGCAAGGAGGAAGGGGTGGCCTCTTTCCAATCCTCATTGCTTGTGACCCCAGGCTGGCCTAGCAGCCTTAACTTGACCCAAACACAGTTCAGGAGCTTGGGCTTCTGAGTCAAGTATCTCTGGGTTCATATCCTGGAGCCACCTCTTGCTAGTTGCATGTTCTCATACAAATTGCTTTACTTCTCTGCACCTGAGGGGATATAATGGTTCTTATATTGTTGGTTGTTGAGGTGATGAAATGAAATAATGCCTCCAAACCATTTAGCACCGTGCCTAGTACATTGTAAGTGCTCAGCAAAAACTAGTTATTAATATCTGGGAGGTACAACCTTAAAATTCTCCTGCTCTTGGTTTTTAAATCCTCTTCCTTTTCCTGGGACTGGTTCCTCTTCTCCTCCCATTCCCTCTCCTTCCCAAGGTTGGCCCCTCTGTCCTAGGTCTTGTCTCACGGCTCCAATCGTCCCTCTTCCTTGCCATCTTGCATACTCCTCCAGTAGGTTCTGCAGCCTCCTAGGCTCATCCTGGGGCCTGGGACCACTGCTCCCAGTTTTCTGTCCCAGCACCTTAGAGCAGGTGGCCTCAAGTCCCCTGAATGAGATTCTACCTTAGAAACAGCCATTAGGACTACTCTAAGAGCCAAGGGGAGCCTCTAACTTCTAAGGGTCCAGACTTTGTGGCACTATATAGGTTATTCCTGCCTTGTCTCCCTTCCTGGGCTGTGAGCATCTCAAGATAGAAAAACAGATCACTCATCCGTCTATCCGTTATGTTGGTATCTGATGTATCCTAGTATTCAGAAAAATGATGAATGAATAAGATTCCTGGATTTGTCTCTTTTCTAAGTGTCTTTGAACAAAGTCCTTTCCTTCTCTAGACCCGTTTTAAAATCTGTAAAATGAGGCGGGGTGTGGTGGCTCACACCTGTAATCCTAGAACTTTGGGAGGCTGAGGATTGATAGAGCTCAGGATTTTGAGACCAGCCTGAGCAAGAGTGAGACTCCCTCTCTATTAAACATAGAAAAATTAGCAAGGTATTGTGGCAGGCACCTATAGTCCCAGCTACTCAGGAGGTTGAGACAAGAAGATTGCTCACCCCCAAGAGTTCGAGGTTGCTGTGAGCTATGACATTACAGCACTCTACCCAAGATGACAGAATGCGACTCTGTCTCCAAAAACCAAAAAAAAA